AGATTTACTTTTCTATGCCAACAATAGTTACTTCATACTTACGAAGAACTCCTCTATCTACACCGCTAGTGGTCTCATTCATTAACTGATGAAGAGATTTGAACTTGTTCATCATTCCACCATTAATTTAGTCCTACTAAGCCATCTGTATCTGGAGCCCCGGTGTGGTGCTGTAGTATAGACAGGATTGCTAACCACAAGGTAGGCAGTTCAGACTCACTGGCTGATCCTGGGAAACCCTATACAGGGCCACTGTGAGGCAGGATGAACTCAACCGCATTTAACAAGAAGTCATGTGTACTTGTCACCATCTTCCCCTCCTATTATGCTGTTTGTCACATCCCGTCACACTCCTTCAGAAACCCCCCTCCCACCAATCTCTCTCCACTTGAAATCTGGACTGTTCCTATCACTATCCCTACCTTAACCATTCCCAGGGGCCCACATGCCTCTTCAGTTAGCACATCAGTTCCCTGAGCCCTTTAGGACCTATCTCATGGTCTACTCCCTTACTTCCCACTCTGTCTGTCTTCCTTCCCCACCCCTTCCAGAAGTTTCCATAAAGGTCATCAAAAAAAATCCCATGCTACTAAACCCAATGGACAGTTCTGTCCTTATTTCACTGAAATTCTCACAAGCATTTGACATAGTCCATTTTCCTAAAGCAGCTACTTCTCAGCTTCTGGTCTCCTTTGACTTGCCCTCTGCCTCTACCCAGATGTTCAGAGCTGGACTTGCTCAGGGCTGTTTTGAGCCTGCTTCTCTTTTCTCTTTTACTGGATTCACTTACCTGTTACCACATTTTTTGTTTTTTTTAAAGTTTTTATGGTGAATTGAGTGAGAGTTTACATGGTAGAACATCAGTTTTACACTCATCGTTTTATTGCAATGATTACAATCTCCTCTGTGCACCATCATCATTCAAACAGTATTTCCTTCTACTCCCTGTGCCTTGTTTTGTTTTTGAGGGGGAGGTATATAAAAACACTCAAGGAGCATACAGTCATTGAAACCACCAAAGGGCACATTCTGTAAGCCTGGCTCCTGGCCACCAGTACACAGCCTTTCTCTTTCCATGAGTCTAGAGTCCTCATCCCTGCCTCCATCTCTGGTGTTCCTACTTCTCTGGATAGGGTCCCACATTCCACTTGTGCTCTTCACCCTTGATGGTCCTAGGGTCATCTGCTCCTGGATTGTAAGATTAACGATTCCTCTCTCTTGTTATAAAACTTCTACATTTACAGTTGTGGCTATCGCGATTAGTCATGGTAACAATTACTATTGAATCATAAGAATCTTATCCCAATCTGTTTTCACCAGACCCATCTAAACATGAAAATTATTCAGTGGGGACTCTACCTTCCCCCACACACTCTTATACTAAACTCTCTCTTGAAAACTTGTCAGCCAGCCAGTTCATGCCTTTATTATAGCCCCCCCCCCCATTTTAGGTAGTCTGTGTCTAAGTTACCCATCTCTATAAACCCTTGTTACCACAAATCTTTATATGTTTTGTGATATATAACAAGAGTTATGTATCAACATGTTCCAAATAACAGTCTTGATTTTGTCCCCTTCAAAAGCCTACTCCACCCCCCCCATACAGGTTTTCACTTCAATTACATAAAAAATTAAAACTCAAACCTGAAAGTTATCCTTTAAACTTTTTCTCCATCACTATCCTAAACCAGTCCATCATAGCAGAGCCAAGGCATACCTATGGAAAATAGTATCTACAGTAGACACAGAAATCGCACTCCCCAGGGGCATAGCTAGTGAAGCAAGCACCCAGGGTAATCTCTAAACTGTACCTCCCCCAGTTCTAGCACTCAGGCAATCTCACAATTGGGGGGAAGAGGGGGCCTACCCAATTTCAAGATAATACATGCTGATAGCTGCAATGAATCTGTTCACATGCCTTTCTCCTTCTAGTCCAGCTGCCTGTTAGGTGCGTTTCCTTTTTGTGGTGCCTTGGAATATCATTCTGCACCTAGTCTGGAGTCTATTTGGACTTGTGCCTAGTGGCAAGTGTCTCCCTCTCCCCTCACCTATGTTCCTGTGCTTACTGTGCTTGAAGAAGGGCATTGGCCATACCAGCTCAATAAATGTACTCAGAGCAGGTGCCATAACTTAGCTCCATCTCTGCAGTCTAGGAAAATCTCATCTACGCCATATCCAAAATCTTCTCAAATGTATGTTCTTTCCGTCTCCACTGTCAGCCCTACGTGACCTACTATGGCAGCCTCCTGTCCTGCTTCCATTCTAAGGCCCTTCCAGTCCACTTTCCACACAATGCTAGGAATGGCTTTCTTGAAACATAAACCAGATTCCTACTCATAGTCTGCAACCTCCATACCATCTCACTCATATCGCTTCAACTTCATCTCCCTTTGTTTACCATATAGTCTAATCATACTGACCTTTTCCCATATCTAGACCATGTGTGATAGATTAAATATGGTATCCAGTTGTTCAGATGAAGGCTAATCCCTCTTCCCTTGAGGGTCATTGTTGTTAAGTGCTATAGAGTCATTTCCAACTCATAGCAACCCTGTATAGGGTTCCCAGAGAGCAGCTGGTGAGCTTGAACCATACCCTTGAATATGTTGTTGTTAAGTGCCGTCGAGTTGATTCCAACCCATTGCGATCCTGCATAGGGTTTCCAAGAAGCAGCTGGTGAGCTTGAAGCACCAACCCTGCAGTTCAAACGACTTTGCAGTGTGACGCATTAGCCCACAGTGCCACACCAGGACTCCTTGAATAGGTTATTGTTGTTAAGTGCTGTGGAGATGGTTCCGACTCATAGTGACCCTGCACAGGGTTTCCGAGGCTGTAAATCTTTATGGGAGCAGAATGCCTCATCTTTCTCCTGCGGAACTGCTGGTAGTTTCGATCTGCTGACCATGTGGTTGGCAGCCCGACTCATAACCACTATGCTACCAGAGCTCCTTAGGACTCCTTGATTATAGATGGTCCTAAATCACCTGCTTGACCAGCAGAATGTGGCAAAAGTGACACTATGATTTTGGAGAAGAGATCAGTAACTTGCAAGTTCCACCTGGTCTCTAGGAATACTTTTTTTGGAGTCCTAAGCCACTAAAAGATGTCCATTTATCCTGAGATGACCATACTGGAAAGGCCACATACAGGAGCTTCAGTCAGCAGTCCCAGATTGCTTCCTCCCATAACCACTTGGTGCCAGAGTTGTAAGTGTGAAGGTATCTTTCCAAACCAGTCCTATTTGCTAGCTTAATAGCACCAGGCCTCTTCAAGGGATCTCTGTTCTTGTAATACAAAATGAAGAATCACCCAGCTGAGCCCCATCCAAATTTCTGACCCTAAAAATCTTGATATAAAACAGATGTTGTTGCTGAGACTAACATGTATGACCATACCACCCAGAACTCACCCTAGATATAGAAGTATTCAAAGTGAAAAAAGAATGTAAACAGGGAACCAGAGATACATATGCCACAACAAAAAACACATTAGGAGGCGATAATATGATTACAGACCTTCCAAATAAAGATTTACAAGAAAAAAATAAAAACAAACCAATATAACCCAAAACTTAGATCAAGCCTTACTTACTCCTAGGCCATCTAGCTCAACCCCTACCCCTAACATAACACTAAACAAAGTTCTAGGCCTTGCCTACGCCTAGCCACAGTCCTTTTTTTTTTTTTTTTTAAACAGGTGGTTTCTTCAAGCACTGTTTTGGGATAGCGCCAAAATTCTTTCCACTTCAGGTCCTTGATATGCTTTATTCCTAGAATTCTCTATACTTACAGCCTACTTGTTTACTTTCTTCTCAACCCATAGTTTAAATGCTCTTCAGAAAAGGCCCTTCCAACTAAAACAACAAAAAAGTCAAGATATGACTTGTATCAGTTCCTTGTTAATTTCTTTGTTACTTAAATAAAGCACACAAATAGGCATCCCTTGTTAAACACTTGAACCTAGCTACTTTTCCAGAGCAGGAGTTCATAAATAATGACCCACAGGCTGGTCACCAGCTTTTTAAAATAAAGTTTTTATTGGCAATATAACCATATTCATTCATTTACATATTGTCCATGACTGCTTCTGAGCTATACAGGTAGAGCTGAGTAGTTGTGAGAGACACCATGAAGCCTGCAGTCTAATATATTTTGCATCTGGACCTTTCAAGTTTGCAGATTGTGCTCTCATCTTGGAGAACAGGGTCTATGGATCTCTGAGCATTATCAAGATCTTCAATACCTTATACAGTACCCAGTACTTAGTAGGCACACAATAAATAGTGTGGAAAGAACTGATGGGCCTTGAAGCCCTTGTTTCCTTGGAAGCTTTTAGGCAGGGCAGGACTAGGAAGAAGTTGGATCAGGAGGGAACTGATCTTAGCAGAGGGAGTCCCAAAGATGAAACTGCTACAAAAGTAGCATCAAGTTCACAGCTCTCAGGTTCAAGGTCAGTTTAAAGAGTCAAAGGTTAGCTAGGACTTTTCTTTACCTTTTAGGGACCCAATGCGTTGGCCACTCCCAAAGGGCCTGGCCACTTTCAGGGAGCAGAGGGTCTCTGCTTTTGTCTTCTACCTGGAAGCATGGGCTAGGCTAGGCCCTAGAAAGCAGTCACATAGGGACATGTGAAGAGACCTTCCCCAGTATCAAAAGCCCCTCCTCAGCAAGGAGAAAGCAAAGTGTGACAAGCCAGGCCCTAGCCATGTTACTTCGAGGTTAAACAAAGGGAAGGTGTTTGAGTGCGGACACAGATTGTATATTCACATGGGTGCTGGGGGGAAAGTACTAGGCTGTGAGTATATTCCTGAATCCATAAAGATAATGTTTGCTAGGGCCCTTGGGATTATTTTTGTCCCTGATGATGGTAATTGGGAGGTGGGAGTACGTAGGGGGGGCAGGAGAAGGGGGTCACAGAACATATTGCACATACTTCTTCATTTAATCTATTATTTTCTAGGTCCAGAAGAGAAAATATTCCTCCTTCTCTCCCTCACTCCGGCTCTATGGGTCCATGGAAAGCTGCTTCTTGTGACCACCTGGGATCTTAAGGCCCTGGATGAATCCAGACTCCAGTAACCCCAAGTCCTGGAGGGCGTCCAGCAGCTGCTCACGAGCAACGCCAATAAAGGAATTCTCCAGAAAGGCAGGTAGGCCTCCCACACCATCCAGCAGGGTATACAGGGGGACCCGAACCAGGCCCAATACCTGTGAAAGAAAGGAGGCAGGGGGCACTGGGAACCCAGGTAGCCCATCCCCTAACCCTCTCCCCAGCCAGATCTTTCTAGAGTTGAGGCCTCACAGCTCATCAGCCCAACAGAACCATGTCCAAGGCTCATACCTCAGTGGGGCCTAATGGGACAGCCCTCTGATGACAAATGACTTGAAATACATAGCTGCTGATTGTTACACCAACTCTTCCTCATATCTGACTGGCTTCTGCCTCCAGGATGCATGCTTGGCCTTACCCAGAGCACCATGATTTGGGAAACTAGGGGGAAATGCACTCTCCCCCAAACCTACTGATTCTGGGCATGGGACCTAGTTATCTGGGTTTTACTGAGGACCCCAAATGATTCTGATGCTTGCCAAGGTGTGAGACTCACCACCACACACAAAGTGTCCCTAACTCACCTACCCTTTGATGCCAAGAATTTCCTGAAAGTATCAGGACACAAATCTTGCCCCAGGAAGGCAGGGGCCTGGAAATAAGGGCCTAGGATGCTATGCCTTGCTATTCTATGTGGGGAGCAGGAAAGACTTATCTGGAAAGATCGTTGCAAAGGTTAAGTAAAAGAGGGTTAGGAGGTGGGAGAAGCTTGGTAAGTAAACGAGGTAGGCTGTTCGTCATACAGCTGCAAGAAGACGAAGACCACAACTACCAAGAAACTGTAGGGGAGGACGAGGTCAGAGGACATAGGGCTTTTCGGGACCAGGCAAGGAGTGGTTGGGTGTGGGGCTGGGTCTCCGGGGAGGCCCACCTCCAGCCCGTGATCCTTGGCGCGTGGGGCTTCGGCCTCCACCGCGGCCAGCTGCTCGGGCGTCAGGCGCTTAGCGTAGAAATGGGCCACGACGCGCGGCCGGGTCCCGGCATAAGAGCTGCGGTAGTCAGAGCGCTCCACGCGGAAGGCGGCCGCCGCCTCGCCCAGCTCCTCGAGCAGCTCGCGGTTCAGCCCATCCTCCAGGCTGCTGTCTTGCGCGTCCACGAAGCCGCCTGGGAAGCCCAGGCGCCCGTCGAAGCGCATCTGCATCTGCGGAGGAGAAGTGGGGATTGGCTGCAGCGTCCGCAGAGGCGGGCCCCCAGGGAGCTAGCAGGGTCGGGGCGGAGACCGGGAGTGGCCACACGCCCCCTCCTCACCAATACGGCGTAGCGCAGCGGGATGTGGCCGAAGAGCAGTCCCTGGTCGGGTGCGTAGAGCATCGCATGGCACGCATGCCGCCAACCAGACCCCAGCCCTAGGGCCTCGGCTAGCTCCAGCCAGCGGCCCCCAGCCATGACTGGACGCTCGCCCTCCCTTTGGCTCTACTGGCCCTTGTGGGCAGGCAAGTGGGCGGGCTTCACTTTGGACCAATCCTAGCCTGGGCAGGGCCGCCACAACCAATCCCTGCAGGGCTCCGGAGCGGCTGGGGCGGGGCTACTAAAGCCCTGGAGGCTGCCAGTGGGGGTGGGACCTACGGGCCTCGGGCAAGTCAAAGGCCTAGGGACGCTCGGGAAACCGGAAGCTTCCTCGGAGTTGGTTCTCTGGTCTGGGTTGGAGTAGCGCCCGGGAGCAAATAGATGCTTACGTCACAGCGTAGCGCCTACAGCAGTTTCCGAGGTCAGGAGAGCTTGGCGCACCTGAGTTTTATAGCATGAGTCTGATTCATTTAGGGGTAAGTCCTGGAAACCAAAGGAACAAGGTGGAGTTCTGAACCTACTTTGATTTGCTTTGGATAGTACTCGAAGCGCTGAGCTAGGGTTGGGGCTAGGAAGGAAATGAGGCAATGTTGACTTGTGAGGTGCGGTCTATCATAGGGCAGAGAGGAATGGAGGGGAGTCATGTCTGTAACCGCTGTGTTGAGTGGTAAATGGGGGGCACGCCTTAGCTGACTGGATGCAGGAAGAAAATTGGGTTAGTTTGTGGTTAGAGTACTTGGGCGGAAGGCAATGACATTTTTTCAGATGGTGATCATAGGATGGGGGTAGTCATTAAGAAGTTTAGTTCTTATCAAATTACGATGGTGATGGGCACCAGGCAGCTAAATGTGGTGTCTGAAGCATAGGAAATGGGCCATGGAGAAGGCAGGATTGGAAGAGATGGTGGGAGAATGTGTGGGTGAAACCATGTGGGCAGAGTGCGGAGGGCAGAGAGAACAAGCCCTCAAGACTTTCAAGGTTTTACCTTCAAACATTCAGACTTTGGAGTTGTGAAGGAGGGTGGGGATTGCTCAGTATACTAGGTTGTTGTGAAGTGCTGTTGAGTCGGTTCCGACCCATAGCGACCCATAGGGTTTCCGAGGAGCAGCTGGTGAGCTTGAACTACCGACCTTGCAGTTCAAACGGCGCATTAACCCACAGCGCCACACCATTTTTCCTACTGCTTTGTATTAAACATCAAAGATGTGGTGAAACCCAGGTGAAATTGCCACTACAAATTAGTAAATAAGCGCAAGTAAGCTTGCTTATTGGGTAATCCACCTCTATGGTGTTGTTGTTAAATGCTGTCGAGTCAGTTCCGATCCACAGCGACCCTGTACAGAGTTTTCCGAAGCTGTAAATCTTTTGGGGAGCAGAAAGCCTCATCTTTCTTCTGTTGTAGTTTCGAACTGCTGACCTTGCGGTTCGCAGCCCAATTCGTATCCACCCCTATAGGAGAGCAAATAACTGATCTCCCCCACCAGTGTAGAGTGGCTACTCAGGGTCTGATGCTGGGACACTAAGATTCAGGATCCCCTATCTTGCGTCAAGGGTCGCTATGGGTCGGACCCGACTCAATGGCACTTAACAACATCTTGCGTCAAGCTTTCCCTACCTTTCCTCAGGCCTGCACTCAAGTGGTCCCTACACAGAGTCAGTATTTATTATGCAACGGAAAGGCAGCTCCTGGGGAGGACCTAGCCGTAAAGCACAGCCAGTATGTGACAGTAAGTGGTAGGAAAGAACCCAGGACACAGGCTTGTGACCTTGACAAATCACTTTACCTGCAGTTCCCCAATTGCTCATCTGTTAAATAGAGATGATGATACCAAAAGATTAGGGATGTTGATACGTGTAAAGCACTCAGAAAACAATAAAAACAAATTCATTGTCAGAGTTAAGTCAGGGACCCCATCGCATAGGAGATTCCCAGGTCTTTTCCTGCAGCACAGCTGATGGGTTTGAATCACTGACCTTTTTTGGTGAGCAGCTAAGCTACTAGAGCTCCTTGAACGGTGTCCGTTGCTGTTGGTAAGTGCGGTTGAGTCGGTTCCAACCCATAAGACCCTGTAGTAGTGTTTCCAAGGAGCGGCTGTAGGTAGGTGCTGTCCAGTCAGTTCTGCCTCACAGAGACTCTATGCACAACAGAACAAAAGTCGGCCTGGTCCTGCGTCGTCCTCATAATTGTAGCGTTTTGAGTCCATTGTTGTTTTTTTTATTTGTATTTAAGAATAAGATAAAACAGGTTTATGTTTTGTTTTGTTTATATTCTGTGTCACAACTGTAATTTTAAAACAGTATGACATAAACCAAAGCAAAATATATACACATATAAAAGTAGTCATATAATTTGCATTTGGATTTAGTTGGTGGAGGTGCTCTGTTTCTTAGTCGTCTCTAAGACTATATGCTCTTTTTTTTAGAGATTAAAGTATTTTATAAAGCCTGAGTATTTGCCCATTTTGGGATACTGGTGATGTCTTCTCCTGTGCAGACACTGTTATATTTTCCCTCAGTCTCTGATAACGTAGTGGTTAAGAATTGGGCTGCTAACCTCAAGGTCGGCAGTTTGAAACTACCAGCTGTTTTACGGGAGAAAGATAAGGCTTTCTGCTCCCGTAAAGATTTACAGCCTTGGAAACTCTGTACAGGGTCGCTATGAGTCGGAACCGACTCCACGGTACTTACCATTTTAAACCTTAGTTATTTTATAATTTAACGAAGATGAATGAGGTATTGTAACATTCCCAGGGAAAATAGATATTGAAAACAAAACAATTAGTTAAAACAGTTTCTACCAGATTCCAGATTTTAAACTGCATCATATCATATTGTCCTGCTCCAGACCCTGTGTACTGACGTATATGCAGGTTCTGTATGAGCAAAAGTAACTATTCTGGATTTCCCATATTTCATAATATAGTCTCTAATTTGTTATGATGTTAAGTGCTGTCGAGTTGGTTCCGACTCAAAGCAACCCTGCATAGGGTTTCCAGGGAGCGACTGGTAAGCTTGGACCACCGACCTTGTAGTTCAAATGGCTTTGCAGTCTGTATGATACATACAGTCAAATGCCATTGCTTAGTCAAGAAAGCACAAGTAAACATCTTTCTAGTAATTTCTGCTTTCAGCCAAGATTCATCTGACTTCATCAGTGTCCTTCTGAATCCGTCTTGAATTTCTGACAGTTCCCTGTTGGTGTAGTGTTGAAACCATTTTAAAACTATTTTCAGCAGCATGCTATTTGCATATGATACTAATGATACTTTATGATAACTTCCACATTCTGTTGAATCACCTCTCTATGTGATGAGCACAGAAATGGATCTCTTCCAGGCCACTGACCAGGTAGCTGTCGTCCAAATTTCTTGGCGTGGTGAGTGATCACTTCCAGCACTCCATTCGTTTGTAGAACCATTTCATTTTGTTTTCTGTGTAGTGTGGACTTATTTAATCAGTACCACATTGTTTCTTGATCATCATGTTATCTTCTAAAATGATTGAATTTCTATCAATTCTATTTGTTACAGTGATTGTATAATTGCCATCTTTTTTTTTTTTTTTAAGGTTTTTATTGTGAATTGAATGAAAGTTTATAAGGCAGATCATCAGTTTTACATGCAACAAATATACACCTTATTTTATTGCAATGATTATAATCCCCTCCATGTACTCTGGTAGCATAGTGGTTACGAATCGGGATGTGAACTATAAGGTCAGCAGTTC